TTAAAAGAGTATGGTCAAAAGTCATGTGATTAGTAGCACCGGAGTCAATAATCTAACCTGTATTGGGATTACCTGGATTTTCGGTTTGTTATTACAAGGAAATTAAATTTAATAGGGATAGCTGTTAGGCCAAGTTGTTTAGGTCCAATTCTACAATCTGCTTAAAGTCTGCAGATGGGCCCAAGGTGTTTCCTTCACTGACGTCAGCGTTGTTGCTAGTGCCTCCACTTGATTGCTGCCCTACCTGACTTTGGGCTTTAGGCTCAGCCAGCCCAACACGGTGAATAGAAGTACCTGGTCCACTGGAAATCAGGGTCGTAAGCCCAGGGCCAAAGTCTGCCACCTTGGCTTTCGCGGCTCTTCTATTCGGTTTTCCCTGACCTTGTTTTTTTCTACGCTCTAGGAACCACTCCCGGTAGCCGTGAATTTCAAAGCACGTCTCTTTTTTATGGTGAGTTCCATTGCAGTGTATACATCGAAGTTTGTCTTTTTCTACGTCCTCTAATTCACGTAGAGAACGTGATGGCCCAAATAAAGGTTTGTTGATCATGGTCATAGATAGGCCATTATCACTTTCCTTTCCTCCAAGCATGGTGGTTTTTCTTTGTGCTTTACGCCGAATGGTGTTAAAGCACTATTCTATTCCAGGGATAGGCTTCATTCAAAAGAGAGTGTTGGGAACTGCATCCAATGAGTCATCTAGTCCTACAAGAAAATCATACACCCTATCTTTTTGAAGATCCTCTTTTCTGCTTCTCAAATCAGTAACATATATCATTCTATTTGGACGTCGTTTGTCTAACTCTTGCCACATGCCTTTTAGTTATGCGAAGTATAGATTTATTAGGCATCCATTCTGTTTTATCCTTGTTGCTTTGCATCTCAACTCGTAATTCTGAGATTTGTCAGCCCAATCATAGAACATATGAGTAACGTTTTCCCAAATATTATGAGCAGTCAATAAGTTGATAAATAGCCCTATAAGATGCAGCTCCATGGTTTTCAGTAACCAACCCTGCACGATAGCATCCTCTGTATGCCATTAGAAAAACCAGGATCGGTTTCTTCCACAGCCGAAATCTTCCCATTGAGATATCCCATCTTGTGTCAAACCTGCAGCATGAACCTCCATTATCTTTGACCAAATTTTGTAGTTTGAATCCCTTAACTTGAATCCAAAAGGCAAAGCACCTAGATTGGACACTGGAGCTGGACCTACAATGGGAAACCCAACTTCTTGTTCATCCATTTAGAGCGGCATGATAATTGTACTTTTGTGGTTTTGTTCTATGGTATGGAAGTCTGGCCAAAGCTGCGATGCCTTTCATCTTTGTAGAAACAATGTCCAGTCTTTTCTATCTTTTTTGTCTGAAACTTGGCACAATGAATTTATTTCAGTCTCTTGTTTTAAGACCTACCTTGTTTTCTTTGATCAAAATTGTTGTGGTTTTGTTTTGTTGTGGACGACTTGGGTTTAGAGGAAGAGATAGGCCGAAACCTCTCTGATACCAAGATAAAATTGTAGTTTAGAGTTCTAATAATTCTTGTTATTCTTCTCCCGTTGGGAGGTAATATATATATAACTCCAAAACTTGTGATACAAGGAATTTTAAAGGAAATACAACCAAAGTAGGAAACACACCTATATTCCTAACCCTCCTAGGATGTTGATTCTCGTCAACATCATGATGACAATCGACGTCGCTTATGTGGGGAGATTGAAGGGTTGATAGAGAGCACAGAGGTGACTCCTGCTGAGGTTGCTGAGAGCTCATGAAGAGCAATGATGCTGAAGTTGCTCTTCAAGGACTTGCCAATTTTCTCATAGGAAAGAAAGTGAGACTGGGAGTAATGGAATAATGGATGAAGGGATTAAGAGCATGTGTAGAACTGTTTTTAGAATGGTTAAAAGTTCTTTTTTTTTTTGGATAATCTGACACGTCCCGACCCCGATATTCCTTGAATACTCGAATAGGCACGTGCTGGCCTACACCCAAGGGTGACGAAAGCCATTTATTGAATACAAGAGTAATGATTAGGAGGAAATATACATGAATAATCATTAGAATATAAAGGTAATAAACAAAGTTTAAGAAAATGTCTAGAGTGCACAGAATACGTTCTAATTTAAGATCACAAAAGGAAAGATCATTACAAGATAGCACACAAGTGAATGATAGACTGTTACTGGTAGGGGAATGCCTCGTACATTGTGTCGTAGTCCTATTTTCTAAGACCTGAATGGGGGCGCAAAACAAAGGTGAGTGGACCAAGTTCATATATACAATAATAATAAAATAGTTATCAAGATACTAACCCCCACAGTTTATATAAAGAAAACTACTAGCATAATAAGTGATATGTTTACTGAAAAACCCTAGCATGCCAAAAACATCTCAAAAGACATATCGCGGAAATCAAAATATCAATCGTCTCACAGATTGTCTCGTAAGGGCGGTGTGCTACCAGTAAGATCACTGAATAAATATAACTCTCGGCCCTATGCCAGCACCGTGGTCTCTGCGCCCGTAGCCAGAGATTATCAACTCCCGACCCAATGGCTGCTTCGTGTCCCTCAGCCCGTAGCTAGGGAATATTTCTTCCGGCCTAACTGCCAACACCATATCCTCCCCTCAGGCAGCATAGTGTCCACTAGTACGCACAAATTGTTACGCCTCTCAAATATAACTACTTCATAGTATAAAGTCATCCATCGTCTATACTATAAAGAGGGGTTTTGAAAACATGTTCTAGCATCCTATCGTCATCCATCAGATAGTTTACCAATTCATGGTTTTTATAGAAAATACGATATATCAAACTATAGCTCAATATAGGCCAACAATTAATTTCTTACAAAATAACGAGATGATAACCAACATTTCAATAAACATGCTTAACATAAATTCAGTTCATAAACTCGTAAGACATGCATTTCATTTATGCAAAAAAACTATAAAATTATGCAAATTTTAGAAGGGGTCCACTCACAGATACTCCGTAGCAGCAGAGTGGTGCGGAAAAGAATTAAGGAAATCCCCATTAGCAACTTCACCTAAGCACAAAAATGTACAATTTATCAAACTATGCCCAAACGATAGAATTCCATGAACTAGACGCCAAAAAAGGACTCAGAACATTGAAATTGGCCTAGGAGAGATTTTGGGTTTTGGGTCCTAAGGTTTTTAGTTAAAAAGGGTTAGGGTGAAAATGGGTGATTTGGGCTTAAACTCAAACCCACACACACACACACACACACACACACAACACAACACACGCACACACATACGTGCACCACACACACTCACACATGCTTACACACACACACACTCACACGGACACACACACACACACACCATACACGTACACACCCACACACATGCACAGCACGGCCCGCAGGCCAAGTAATAAAAAAGGGATGGGTTTAAGGCCCTAGTTAAAAGGAGGTGGCCAAAGGCCCTAATGTATCTTGGGTTTCTAAATAGAAAATAACTAAAATTAAAAAGTGTGTGGGCCAGGGTATTGGACTGGTCTAAAACGGGCTAAGGCCCGTTGGTGCTTTGAACGGCCTGAAGGCCTGCTTTGCAAAACGGGAAAGGACGCCGAAGCTGCTACAGCTCTGGCTGACGACGTTCAAGTAAACCAACGTCCAAACCATGTAGCAAAATGAAGAGGAAGAGAGTGGAGTATTTTCATACCCTTGCTTCACCGTGAACGACTGTGAGTGTTCGGAAAAACCCTCAAAGGTCACGAGTTCGCTGGAAAGTTTGGGTGAGCCTCCCCCACGTCATTCCCGTTCTCAAAACCTTGGAAGAACAATGTAGATTTCAACACACAACGCCCAACAACATCAATGGCGATTTCAAAAGGAATTCAAACTTACCTAGCCGAAAAAAAATAAATGAAGAAATCCGTCGGAGGTCTTTTCTCGGGATTCCCCGATCTCGTTGCGACAGAGAGAGAGAAAGAGATGGCGCAAGGAAGATGATGATGATGATGATGGTTTACACCAGGAGCTACATGCAGGTTTGTTTGGTTGGTCACGGTGCAGAGAAAGAAAAGGAGAGATGAGAGGGAGGGCTTGAGAAGAGAGAAAAGAGAAGAGAGCTAGGGAGCTGCTACTTGGCAGTTTAGGAGAAATAAGGATTCTAGATCAAAGGTTAGGATTAAATGAGATAAAAGATTAAATTGATAGACTTAAACATGTTTCAGGGAGGAATATAGAAATATAAATAAAAATGTGGGGGTGGGTGTAACATAATCAGAAAGAAATTCTTACCATGTTTATTAGAAAAACTTAAGACATTTACTTGGAATTTTAAACAAAATTTCAGCATGTTTATGGTAAAAGTGCTACTACGATAAATGCACCCTTCTTCGTTACCAAGCTCGGAATGTTATAAACTTCTTTAAAATCCTAATTGAATACATCCGGATTTCTAAGGATTTTAATAAACTATCTTAACATTCTAATTGAATACACCTTGAATTTGAGAGAATCACTTAAAATCTTGATTGAATACCCCTAGATTCATTAAAAGAATTAAAATCCCTCAAAATTTCAATTGAATACACTCCTTTAAAATGATCGTCAAAATAAGAATATCTCAGTTAGGGGGAGACATCTGAAGACAATGGATGATCAAAGTCTAAGAAGGGCATTAGCAAGATGAGTAGTGGCTTATATTGCATAGGTTGAAAGAACGTTTGTTTATAAGAGTTTTTGCAAGAAACATTTTCAGTAGAAGTATATATTAAAATTTTATAATCTAAGTGTTTTCTAATGAAACTTTTAGAAATGCCTTATCGAAGAAAGCACTTTTATAAATCACAAACATTTAAAAAAAAAAATTACCGACTATTGCCGAAAACGCTTTTAATTGTCATAAAACGCTTTTAGCCTTTTCAAAAATAATCTCAAAGAAACAAAATGAAATAATTTCTTTAAAATGGGTACGAGTGTTTCGAGAAATCGAGTGCTCTGATTGAATGAAAACAGTACTATTTGGGCCTATGCCCCATCACCAATTGTCACCCAAACACGGAGCCCGTTTGATTGATAGTCTTCGTCTCCAGACCCAAAACCTCCACTCAATGGTGGTTCGCGCTTGAATTGAACCCTTTCCTCCGCGAAATCCTGAAAAGCAGCGATTGCATCTACTCTGTATTTCCAGATCTGCAATCATCCATATATTACTGAAGAACAATACAATCCAAACTCCAAATCCGAAAAGTTTTCAATTTCCAGGAAACATGGATCCCGATTCAGTGAAGTCCACTCTCCAAAATCTAGCATTCGGAAATGTAATGGCCGCCGCAGCCCGTAATTACCAAAAGGAACTGCTTTCCAACGAGAAGGTGGCCGCCACGAGCTCCTCCAACCAAGAAGTCGACCTCGACGAGTTGATGGATGTAAGTTCTGGGTTCGATTCCATTCGATTTGATTCAATTCTGCATCTTTCATGTGCATTTCAAATTCCCAATTCGCAAACGATGGTTTGTTTGATTATTTTGTGATGAGTAGGATCCGGAGCTTGAAAAACTGCACGCGGATCGGATTAATGCTTTAAAGGTTCAATATTTTTCGTGTTTGATTGATTTGCGGATGGGGGGTTTCTTGGATTTGTGGGTTTGTTTGGAAGGTTTGGTTTGAATTTTTGAAATTTTGATCTTGTTTGAATAGAAAGAAGCTGAGAAGCGAGAAGCTTTGAAGAGGAAAGGGCATGGAGAGTACAGGGATATAACTGAGGGGGATTTTTTAGGTGAAGTTACCGGAACTGAAAAGGTCATCTGCCATTTTTATCACCGGGAGTTCTATAGATGCAAGTAAGTGCATTTTGGTCTAGAAAATTTAGACATGGATTAGTGAGTTTGTTTTGAACTTACGTTGCTTGGTTATTTCTAGGATAATGGATAAGCATTTGAAGACGCTTGCTTCGAAGCATGTTGATTCTAAGTTCATCAAGCTGGATGCTGAGGTTGCTGTGAACTTCACTTCCTGTTTTGTGTTTTAGTTGGTGCAACTTTTCGTGTTTACTTGGATTGAGCTTACTTGTTTGCAACCTTCCGTTTTTGGTCCTTTAGTTAGGTTTAGGGTTTAGAATTGGGAATTGATTATTTGATGATGAACTGCAGAATGCGCCCTTCTTCGTTACCAAGCTCGGAATCAAAACTTTGCCTTGTGTCATACTCTTCAGGTCAGGCAATCTCCGTATAATTATTGTAAATCTGCGTGCATGTCCATTTCGAGCATTAAAGAGGCATATGGGCATCCACTATTTCGCTGTTGTATGAAAAGGCAGGAGAGCAACGAGAGCTGGAAATATAGTAATACTGTAATTGCGCAATCATTTGACGTGTGCTTCAAGAGCATGTGATAACTTTCATGCTAATTCCATCTTGCACTGAGATCTTCCATTGAAATTCATATTTACGGATTCAGAGGTTCGCCTTTTTTCAGAAAAGGAGTTGCTGTGGATAGGTTGGTTGGGTTTCAAGAAGTGGGAGCAAAAGATGATTTCAGCACAAGGGCGCTTGAAGTTGCACTAATCAAGAAAGGTAATGGCTTTGTCAAGTGTGTTTCACAATTCGTATCCTGTTGCGGAGTATCTAAACTGCCAATTTAACAGGTATAATTAGTGAGAAGAAAGAAGACGGTGATGAAGATGATGGATATCTTGAAGGCGGTCGCAGGACAGTGAGATCGTCTGTGAATCTTGATTCGGATTCAGACTGAAACCGCAACCTGAGTTTTCAAATGCGTTGTATGCTTGTTGTGGCATCTAATTTATGTTACCATATGAACGGAATTTGTGGACCGCATTTGCAGTGGAAATATATTCTTCCAGGCATTCATTTTGTTATTGATGTTAAGTCAGTCGCTGTATCTATAGACTTTTCTAAATCGTGTACCACACAATAACTTGTCGTGAACAAAATACGGTAGCATAGTAAAACAATTGCATGGAAATACGATTATATTGCTAAACCCTCAGTTTGAGATAAACTTTACGTAAATCGGATGGTGTATACTCTGTTGGCATGCAAGTTCTTCATCCTGTTAAATGGTAAAAGGGAGTTTTAACGAAAAGCCCACGGTACTGTTCACTTTAACGAAAAACCACATTTTTACACTAAAAAGTCAAACCTGGTACTATTCACTTTACTTTTTATTTTGTCCTTATCATTAAAACTCAAAGTTTTCAAGCCTTTTTCAAAGTCTGTCCTGAGATTTCGTGTGCTCCGGGCGACAACCAAAAAGAGCAGAATCAGGAAGTCGGAATCCAAATATTTTGGACAGAGCAGGAAATAATCGAGCCAAATCCCGGGAGATTGGGTAGGTAGGAAAGTACACCTCAGTGAGTGCAGCATCCGCAAATTCTTTCGTGATCGAGTAACAATCTAAGATTTATAATCCGTTATTCTGAATTGGCATAAAAGTATCCCATGCAGGTGAACGTCGAGTGAGATACAATATCGCATTTAATTTAAAATGACTGGATACAATCAACCTTTCTTAAAAAAAATACATGTATGCATAGTAAAATCAAACAACGTAACTAGGTGATATATTATCCAAATCTCTAGATATTTCTTGTATCAAATCCCAAATACGTAGATTTGAGATCACCATTTCCAAATGAACACTTAGAGGAGTCTGTTGGAGCGCTATATAATTAGAATGGGAGGACGTTGGTTTCTAAATTTCTATCCCCAAAAATAAACAAGGCAGCCGGTGAAGAAAAAAGACAACAAATGCACAATGTAATATTTCTCTCTGATTAGTTTAGTTCAAACTCTCTTATCTTGTGGCTTTACTCTTCTTTGTTTTGGTTTGTCTTGGTTAGTTCGAGGTGACTCTGATTTTATTCATATAGAAAACTTTCTTGTAAACGTGATTTCAAATCATCAAAACCGTTTTTCGTAATATTTAACAGGAAAAATTAAAAGTGCTTATGGGTTGGAAAAATATCCTGACATGGTCTATATAAACATAAGTGCTCTTCAAAAAATAAAAAAACATGTCTACGAGCTAGATATTACTTAGGCAAGATCAAATTTATGCTTTATTGTTAATAAAATTGTCCTCGTACAGTCGAGAAGTTATCAAATGAAAACAAAACCATGTATGAAATGAAAGTAGTGGAAATATAGTTTTACCGGGAATAGCAAAGAGACGTTATTTAGGATTTGAGTGGAGTTGCCTTGCATTTCGCCTTCTGTCGAGACCTCGTCAAACATCAAGCTCTCAACTGAATCGAAACCTTAAAAAAAGAAAACAAGATTTACTAATTTTCTTCTCCCTCACTGTCTCTCCGACATTTTCTAAGACTTCTCAAATCCCGACTATGATTCAGGATATTTATATCCATCCTTGCCTCTCTCTCCCCCAAAACCCCATTTGTGTTTTTCTTTTTTGGACTGACCCCCCGCTGTGTTCACCAGAGGACAGAGGTAAATAAAATCAATAATCCTATTAATCCCACTATATTTTTCTGTATTTTTGTACAATTGGAGGCCTTTAATTTTGCTCTTTCTGTTGTTACTGCTCAATTTTATTTGAATTAATCCTATGTTTTAGTTGAGTTATATATATGATTTTTATTTAAATTTAAGCTGCATTCTGGTTGTGATTTTGGTTTCCAAAGTGGGAACGTAAATGCATGGATTTGTTCAATTGGGCGATTCTTGTAGTTACTGCTCAATTTTACTTGAAGTAATTTGCTTTTTTAGTTGGGAAATTAGCCAACACGATCATTTTTCACGTACCAATCGCTAAAAATGATCAGTTTTCATTATATCGTCAATATCTGATTTTGATCGTTTTAGGAATTGGGATTTAGTTTCTAATCATTTTAGCGAATTGCCCCCTTAAGTTGGTTGTTTCTTTTTTGAAATTTAAGTTGCATTTGGTTGCAAAGTACATTATATAGCATAATTGGTCTGTTTTGTGATTTTGTTTTCCAAAGTGGGAATGTAAATGCAGGCATTTGGGCAGGGTTTTGTTTCTGGGTCTGCATCTGTGATATGAGTGCTTGATTCTTCTTCTGCACTTCAGCTACTACTTTAACAAAGTTTTCGGACAAGTAAATACCGTTGCCCTCACAAGTAACACCATGTCTGGACCTCTACCCGGTAATATTTCATTTAGAATCAACGTATATTCGCATCTCGATAACTATATGCTTCAAATGTGAGGACTTGTCTTGAATTTGTAATGCACAATGCCACTTTAAGGGACTTTAGGATGTTGGAATGGACAAAAACAAGCCTTGGAATTTGGATGCATTAATAGGCAAACATATTATTCTTTGCATATTAGGATGCCTCGCGTTTGATGCGCATAGATATGACTCACTTACGTTGTGTGATTTTCAGTATCTGATGTCGAAATATCTGAGGAAGATAGAAAGACTAAAGTCGGGTCGTTGAAGAAGAAGGCAATGAATGCCTCTACTAGGTTCAGAAATTCTTTGTCAAAAAGGAATAGAAGAAGCAGTAGTAAAGTCTTGTCTATCGACATTGAGGATGTGCACGACTTAGAGGAGATACATGCTGTTGATTCGTTGCGGCAGGCACTTTTACTGGAGGAGCTTCTACCCTCCAAGCACGATGATTATCATAAGATGCTCAGGTTTCTTCCTTTTTCTTGTTCCAGTGGAAGTTTTGTTGTCGATGGTTTTTATGATAGATACTGGGTTCTTGTTTAATCTAACTAAATCATTGTAATACAGATTCTTGAAGGCCAGGAAATTTGATGTCAACAAAACCAAGCAAATGTGGTCTGACATGCTCGAGTGGAGGAAGGCATTCGATGCTGACACAATCATGGAGGTATCTTCTGTAGAAATAGGTGCTTAGGTTTTGAAGTTTGCTAATTATTTCATTTTACATCTTTCCTTTCAATTTTTATGTTTGCTTTCCTTTAGTAAAGAGCAGAATATCATTTGTTTATATTTGTTCGTCAATTTAGTTACTCATGTATTCATCTTTTCTTCTAGGACTTTGAATTCAAGGAACTCGATGAAGTCTTGAAATACTACCCCCAAGGACATCATGGTGTAGACAAGGAAGGACGACCTGTGTACATCGAGAGACTAGGCCTAGTAGATGTGACCAAGCTGATGCAAGCCACAACTATGGACCGCTACGTCAAATACCATGTCCAGGAGTTTGAGAGGACATTTGCTGTTAAATTTCCAGCTTGCTCAATTTCAGCAAAGAAGCACATTGATCAAAGTACAACTATCCTCGATGTGCAAGGAGTGGTATGTGATACTAACTATAACCGCTACTTCTGCTCAGCAAATAATTTGAAAAAACAGAAAACTAGAATCACTTATGGGAAAACAAGGGAATAGCTGGTATATTGTTTATAGCTGTTGCCAAGATGTGCTAAGATTTTTAACTATAAGGGATATTTACTACAAAGAATCTTGCTTCAAATTACATTACATGGAAGTTAAATAATCTGTTACGAACTTACTGCAATGCCTCAGGGATTTAAGAATTTCAACAAATCTGCCAGGGAACTTATTACTCGCCTTCAGAAGATTGACGGTGACAATTATCCTGAGGTACTGCCTTACCGGTTAACATCTTTTGGTCTATAAAATTTTGGGAACTTCAGGACATTTTTGTTGATGGTAGAATTATGATGCACACAAACTGTTGTTTTTACCACAGACCTTGAATCGCATGTTTATCATCAACGCTGGTTCTGGCTTTCGAATGTTGTGGAACACCGTGAAGTCCTTCCTTGATCCGAAGACTACGGCAAAGATTAATGTGAGTATATACATTTTTATGCTAAAAATGCTTATTCTCGTCAGGGCTACATTAATCAGGGAAAACTATCATCCTCCAGGTCCTTGGCAACAAGTATCAGAGCAAGTTGCTTGAAATAATTGATGCTAGGTAAGTCTGTTTTAAACGAAGCAGACTTTTTAGGAGCTTTGCTTCCACATAAGCTGCTTCATCAGTTTGCTTATTTTGATGTACATTTTCTGGCTTGACTTTGCTCCAGCGAATTACCCGAGTTTTTAGGAGGTACATGTACTTGTGCTGATCAAGGAGGCTGTATGCTTTCGGACAAGGGACCCTGGAAACAACCTGAGATCATGAAGGTAGATAAAGACCGTTCTTCTCCTCGTTTTTTTTTTCCTTTTTATTATATCATTACCACTATGCATTATTTTAACTTCTAATTTAATTAGAATTCATAAGTATCGATTTATGTACTTGCAGATGGTCCAAAACGGCAGTCATCAATGTTCAAGAAAATCTGGACTTCAAGTAGGTCCTGCTTGAACATATCTTCTGCTTTTCTTTTTCCTTATAAACCTGCCCCTAGTTTCCGGATTGTCACATTTGGACTCTAGGTCATCTCAAAGTTCTTAGTCACATGATTTTCATCATATATTTTGGTGCTTCATGTTCGTAGATGTAATTGATAGCTTAATCATATAATCTTCCTAGGGACTCGATGCAGCTCTGAATGTTGGACCTTCCGCTCCTAAACTCAATCATGCACTTTCTCGCTTCCATGAAGAAGTAAGTGCAAAAAACTTCCAAGTTCAATTTAAATTTCAACCGAGCAATTGTCAAGTACACTGAGAGCTTTTCTTTCTTATGTATGTGTTTCTAAGCATAGACACACGTATAATTGATATCTGCGTATCTTGTAGCTGAAGTTTCCCTCCTCTGTTATCGTGACAGTTCTGACCTCTGAGATAATCTTTGCAGGTATCCCTAGCCAAAACTCGCCAAGTGTCTTTCAGGCGCAAGGACAGTGTCTCGATGGTTGGTAAATCTGTGGATTCGAGTTGGCCAATGTCAGTGGGGAATGTTAAATTTGCCCTCTCAAAGGCTAAATCATCTGAGAATTTAGGTGAGCTTGTGTATTGTGTTTCTTTCCTTATCTAATTCTAAGATATTCCTTTTTTTTTCCTTTTTGTTTCTTTCACAATAGTTATAGGGTCTGAGTTTCTTTACTTGCAGCAGGAGATTGTTTCACCAGGAACAATGCTTGCAAACTGCCTGAAGGTTTAGGCTCTCAGATTATGGCTGCTATTATGACGTTTCTTGTGGGCATTGTCGCCATGGTCAAACTAACACGTAGCATGCCAAGGAAGCTCACCGACTCCACCTTCTACTCCAGCACTGTCTGCGACAGTGACACAATGGTCAAAGGCCAGGGCTCTTCACACTCTGCCATCTCCGGTTCAGATCTCATGACTGTCATGAAACGCATGGCTGAGTTGGAAGAGAGAATGACTGTTTTGAACATGAAACCTGCTGCCAAGCCAGCTCAGAAGGAGGAAATGCTGAATGCTGCTCTAGGTCGGGTTGATGCCTTGGAGCAAGAGCTTATGGCAACAAAGCAGGTAGCGTTTCAACATGTTCCTCTATGTAGATTTCTGGAATACAGAGCTACAAAACCTAGCTGAAAAATTAAATCTGAAACAGTATCCAACCATAGGAAAGTAAAAGCTGTAATTTACATCAATCACTAGCAGGGTACTATTAATGTTATAGGTGTATGATCCTCATTTGAATTGGCTTCTCGTTTAGGCTCTCGAGGAGTCGCTTGCCCGGCAAGAGGAGCTCTTGGGCTCTCTTGACAAAAGAAGAAGAAGAAGAAGAACAAGAAGAAGAAAATGGTAAGCAACCGAGACGAAAACATCACTTATTCGAATTTTAGGTGGAGTTTGTGACATTTTAAATATGTTTTGGGTTGTAATGCAGTTCCATATCTGGTGAAGAAAAGTCAGACACAGGAGAAGATATGCTTGGTTGAATAAATGAATCATTGGCTGTCAAAAGCCCCCACCCAAATGCGCGCCTGTACTCAACTTAACCGTTCTATTAAACTTTTACCACATAAAATATGAATGAACAAAGTTTTGGCCATGTGCCTAGTTTGCCAGTGTATCACTTTTCACTATTATAATTTATGTAGATGTCTTCATTTTTCAATATAAGTTTCTAATAGCACATGAACATTGGTCTAGCGCACGGCACTCGATCTCTAGTTTGTTCAAGAAGATATTGCGTTCACATCTCATGAACAGACAATAGTTGTTGAAAAAACTATTTAGAGTTTGGTACAAACCCAACTGGATTTTGGGTGCATGCATGATATGATCATGGTGTAGATATCCTACTTTAAACGGACATTTAGTCTTTTTACTTCGCTGGAGGCAATTCTGAGTTTAGATTTTGTCGAGGAGAGTTGTTGAAACACTATTGAGTGTTTGGTACAAACCCAGCTGGGTTTGTTTGGGTGCATTATGCATGATATGATACCATGATGTAGCCAAAGACCTTGTGATTTGCTTGTTGGAAAGCAAGTGAGAGTTGAGCTACTTTCAGATTATCAGAATCTAGATGGATAGCAGAATAGGGTTTGCTCTAGGGGGGATGTAGGAGGGCGGCGGAGAAAGTGTGCGCTTACGGAATGTTTCTTTCAAAGACTCACGCGAGAGAGAGAGAGAGAGAGAGAGAGAGAGAATGAATGACTGAATGAACTGTTGGGAAAGCAAAGGCAACACTGTTCACAATCTTACCATATCTTCAAGTTGGACTGCCTCCCCTTAGTTTTAGGCTTTTAGCCATTTGGTTTGGCTTTAGCCAAGTCCACCAAAAGGGTTTGATATTCTCTACACATAGAATTATACATCAAACATCAAACATTATAACATTAATACATTATATTATTTTTGGGGAATTGTTATTAGCATTTCAAAAATCTTATTTGGCACTACAAACCTTCTATAATTAGAAAGAAAAATACATTTGTAAGGAGCGTATAATGAGATTTTTAGAGTATTAATAACAATTCTCTTATTTTTGTTACATCTAAATCATGAATTATTAAGACAATAAGAGTGCGATGATTATTTGTATCACAAAGTATTTGTGATCGTCATTAACATTTATCTCTAAAAAAATATTTTTATTAAATGCCAGATTAGAGAAATCATCCATGTACTGTGGCGTTTGTCAATGTTGCTCTTGCGGATGCATAACTCTTAATAATACCATTGAAGTTATATAATTAGTATGTTACCAATCTCATTTCAAATCTTATTTGTTATATCACATTCAAACTTTATCCATATTTTTATTGTGTGCATCATTTCAAGAGTAAAAATGTAAATTTTATTTAAGTTTGTGGAGCTGTTTCAGCCTTAAATTACACTTGGAATGACCATTTAGTTTGAATTGGATGAAATTTTGATGTAAAATTCGGTTTGGCCATTTTTTTTTTTCAATTACAATAGAAACATTTAAAGATGTGACCAAACTTATGGAACTTAGCCTTATGGAAATGTACCAATAGGGACCATCAATGGGTACCTATTAAGTTAAACGGAAGTCCATTTAAGTGTAAATATGTGTTATTTTTTATGATGAATGGTAATATTGTGCTTGTAATAATGATAATATTGATATATGGAATGTCTGTGGGCACCTATTGAGTATTACCGATGAGTAAGAATTAATGGATCTCCTCGCATTACACGTTAAATATTAATCTATACTTATCATATCAACAACCAATTGTTTAGCATTATCTAAGAGCATATACATCCTTATTTCCATGTTTCTTGTTTGTAATTGAACAAAAACGGGGATGAGTATCATTTCTTTGTCGTTGTACAGAAAAGTAATAATAATATCTCATAAATTGAAGGCATATTAAAAGTAATTGTGAAAATTTATTCATTTTGTGGTCATTAGAAAAATTGTACGTGAATGAAACTTATCATATTATTTTGAGGGGTTGAAATGATAGGTTTCGTTAATGAGTAATTCACTGTTTACCTTCAAATTGGACACAAATTTTGTCATTAAATTTTTTTCATTTAAGATATCTTAGAGATCAACACATGCTAAAGTTTCCAAACCAAATCTCACTAACACAGAGGCTAGTAATATTCATTTTCACGTGGAACATCTCGAGTTGAACTTAAATGACTAATGTCTAATTATTATAATTACCGCAGCGGCCTAACTCAGTTCATCCACCCCTATAAAAATATCATCGAATTATAAACAAATAGAACATTTTCCGTATGCAAAAATAGATAATGCAATGAATGCGTATGCCGTTGGTGGTACAAATTTCCAAATAAGTAGGGTTGAAAAACGGTACATTTCACATAGACGAGGGAAGTGATAAACTGATGGGTAAGCCGAGTTACCCAGAGCCGTCAACAGACGGCGTAATCTTAAATTCGACAGCATGATTTTATAGTGTTTGATTGATTGTGCATGAAGCAACAAAAACGAAGACCGAAAGAAAGAGAGATCTTATGTAGCTGTCCTGTCGGTGTGGGGGTCATGGGTTTAGCTCCTTCCTCCTCCTCCTCTCTCCCGTGGGGGGTTAATTTGTATTTAACATTAACCCCCCCTCTCTCTCTCTCTCTCTCTCTCTCTCTCTCAAATCCCTCTCACTGATCACGACGAGAAAAAGAATCATAACTCGTGATGATGGTCTGATATCACTATGAGGCTTTGAGCCATTTATCTATATATTTACATCTATATATATATATATATATGTATGTATGTATTCGTATATATAAATATAGATAAGGGAGGATCTATGTACTTGCCAGTGACTTGTCCCCACGACCTTTAAGGATCCTCTCTTCTCCTGTTAATGTTGCTTGCCAATTATTGAGGTTTGTTCTTCTTTTCTCTTTTGGGTTTTTGTTCTTCTTCTTGAATTTTTGTGTAAAGTTTTAGAATTTAGCTATGAATTCGTGATTTGGGAGCTTTCATGTCCGTAAAAGGTAAAAACTTTGATTCCTCAGCTAGTCTTTTGATGCAATCGACATTCTACTTTAAACTAATTTAAATTCCGGGAGGGAATTTGAACTCGGGTAGTAAGTGTGCTTCTCAGTTTCAGTTTTGAGTTTCGTTTATTGGGTAGTTTTTTATGGTGTGTGGAAGTTGGAGAATTGTTGGTGTGAATGGGATTTCAAAAATTGCTGGGTTGACAAGTAAAAGAAAAAAGATGAAAAATTTAGGAGTTGAAAGTGAAAAAAAAAAAAAAAAAAAAAAAAAGAAGCCAAAAGTGGAAGTGAAATTCTGTGTAATTTTAAACGTAGGAGAAAAGTAGGAAGAATAACACAAACGGGGATTTGGGTGACTGCAAAAGATCCAAGTCTACAAGTGTTAAGGGCAAGTAAGGATTGATTCCATTTTAAAGCTTACCTCTTCTTTACATACACACTCCAACACATCGTTTTCGGTTTCTGTAGAAAATTATCATCCAGTGCTTGTCGTACACTTCAATTTCTGTCACTTGGTATTTCATGTTGTTCTTGTTATATTTTTGTTGTTTGAAGGTTTTTATTAGAAGTATTTAAGTATTTGTGTTTTAAGTTGGAAGGTATTGAGTGATTTGCAGGAAAATGGCAACTTTAGTTGAGCCTCCGAATGGAATTAGGCAACGGGGGAAGCATTATTACTCAATGTGGCAAACATTGTTTGAGGTTGACACCAAGTACGTACCGATCAAACCCATAGGGAAAGGAGCATATGGTGTAGTGTGCTCGTCAATCAATAGGGAAACGAATGAGAAAGTTGCAATCAAGAAGATCAATAATGTGTTTGAGAACAGCATTGATGCATTGAGGACTCTGAGGGAGTTGAAGCTTCTTAAACATATCCGGCACGAAAATGTGATTGCTTTGAAGGATGTTATGATGCCTATCCACAGGACAAGTTTCAAAGATGTGTACTTCGTTTACGAGCTCATGGATACGGATCTTCATCATATTATAAAGTCATCCCAACCACTTTCCAGTGACCATTGCAAATACTTCCTATTTCAGGTACTAGCTTTCTCTCAACTAGTGTTAATTACCTCATTAATTCCTCCGAGTAGTCATCCCAATTGGTTCATGCTAATTTTGAGCTTAATTAGTTCATGGAAATGTAAAAAATTCTGGAAAAGGTATAGGAACTGAATGAGTAGAAAGCATGTTACCGAAGTACATTTTGACCAAGCACAAGCAGACGTTTCAGCTTCTTGCATTTTCTTATGTAGAACTTAACACTCTGGTGTTTCTGTGCATTTCAAAGGCTGAAATTTTGGTTCCTCACCAAGCTTCAGTTAATCCTTGAGCTCTGCTCTTATAATAGTTGTTCTATTTGTGACTAATTTGGTTCGGCATTGTAGCTGCTTCGAGGGCTCAAGTATCTTCATTCAGCAAACATCCTTCACCGTGATTTGAAGCCTGGCAACCTGCTAGTCAATGCTAACTGCGACTTGAAAATATGTGACTTTGGGTTGGCCCGAACCAGCGGAGGTAGAGGCCAGTTCATGACAGAGTATGTTGTCACTCGCTGGTATCGTGCACCAGAGCTGCTATTGTGCTGTGACAATTATGGAACATCCATTGACGTCTGGTCCGTAGGATGCATCTTTGCTGAAATTCTTGGCCGGAAGCCAATCTTTCCTGGAACTGAATGCCTCAACCAACTAAAACTAATTATCAATGTTCTTGGTAGCCAGAATGAGCCTGATCTTGCATTCATTGACAACCCGAAAGCCAGGAAGTACATCCAATCACTGCCCCTTTCTAGGGGGACACATTTGTCCCGTTTATACCCCCAAGCCGATCCTTTAGCTATAGATTTGTTGCAAAGGATGCTTGTGTTTGATCCAACTAAGAGGATCTCCGTCTCAGAATCACTCCAACACCCTTACATGTCAGAGCTATATGATCCGAGGTCTGATCCTCTTGCCCAGGTTCCCATCAGCCTCGATATAGATGAGAATATGGGGGAACCAATGATCAGGGAGATGATGTGGAACGAGATGCTTCGCTACCATCCAGAAGCTGTCCAGATGCTTCACTACCATCCAGAAGGGGCTTATGTGCATGCTTAGATAAACTTTCAAAAGGCTTTCCAGTTTCAAAAACAATGTTTCTTCGTGCAATGTGTTTATTATTTATATAAAAATCATGCAATAGAGAAACGTATTGTTGTTCATAATGATCTTGCCAAGATTTTGCATTATGTTCGGTAGCTTGAGGTCTCCCTGAACATTCTATCGCGTAACTCTGTATGTAATTATGCTTGTTACCTGTAGTCTACGACTATGATATCTTATTATGGATAATGCATGCAAGACATTTCCTGAGAAAAACCGAAAGGAACTGAATAAAGATGCGTCCATTTTTATTCACGTTCTTGTCTTCTGTTTCAATTATCCTTGTAGTTTTCTTTACTCAAAGGCAAAGATGTGTACTGTTTCTTCACATATTGGCAAGCTCAAGCTTAATAGGTAGATGTGTGGGTCGCTCAAGGCTTTAGTGTAGATGCTGAAGCATGTGCTTGTTTGCCTGAAAGTGAAAGGAATATATGAAATCATTCGTCGAAATTTCACTGTACGATTTGTGTCATTTGCTTGATATTTCGTGGTAGGCACAAATAGGAAACTACAATTGCCCTAGAGCTATGAAAACTTGATAGAGATACAGAGAAACTTGATAGAGATACAGAGAAAGGGGGGAAAAGAAGCGCGGAGTAAGGGTGATGGGAGGGAGGTCGAAGATGCGTGTAAAAGGAAGGATGAAGAAGTGCGGAGTAAGGTGGTGGGAGGGAGGTCGAAGATGCGTGTATGAAATGCTACATAGAATGAAAACTAAGAACTAAAACGAACTTTAAGCTTTAATTTCTAATTTTTGTTTCAATCATTCTCCATAATTTGTACCTCCACCCTCCTCCATCTCCTTTTAGCTTCTCTATCTCTAACGAAAACTGAAAACTAAAACTATTAACGAAAAGGTTATTCCTTATGGAGTTATGCAACTTTGTAGTATAGAGCAGAGAACCATGAATGAAAGTCTGAGAAAGTAAACTAGGGAATTCATGTTTGTCTTGTATTTTGGATAATATCCAGAGGTGGATATGGATACATTAGGTGAGCCGAGGCATGGATAAAGCAGCTCAATACTGACCTACTGTAAGCACACAGTTGTTAATATGGCCCCTAGCTTTTGGTTAGAGATTGACTTTCAATGCCTATCGGAACCGAATATAAGACTGTTTTATAACTATTTCGTTTGTTGTTTTTAATTTCATCGTTTTGTTAACAGTAAATAGGAAATACAAGAGAGAAATGAGGGATGGACAAAGGTGGAGGATGAATGGTGGAATAAAGCGGATATCGTAGAGTACACAAAATAAAAATTAACTAAAAACAAAGTTTAGTAGATTTTCTTTTCTATTTTCCACATTCTCCTTTATTTAATCCTCGATCCTTCACCCACCATTCTTCATTTCTCGTTCCTCTATATGCATTCTTTCTAGCTCTATCAAGAATTAAAATTATAAACAAAATAATTATCAAACGAGTCAGAAACTGCTATAAAAAAAATCAACTATTACTAAGACTAGTCGAGTGACAAGATGAAATCTTAAGCGTTCAAACATAAAAAGAGGGATACAAATGAGAAATAATCCTTGTTCTATTTCTAAAGCTGCTGCATCGATATGCAGCCTACTTTTTAAGTTTATTTTGGCAAACAAACTTTAAGAAAACATCTATCATATATATTATATCCTACCATATATACAAAAAAAAGCCATGACACTCGAAAGTTCACTTTAAAGCAAAAGGAGCATACAATTTGAGACCCAAAGAAAGAGACCTTCACAGAAGAAGTTGATAAGAATTGATATTTAGGTCTCCCAACTTTTCTTAACCCCTAATAAACCCACTAACAGCCCACAGCCCACCGCCCACCGCCCACTGCCCACTGCCTACCTCTCTTGCCTGCCTGGTTTCCTCCCACTTCTTTTTACAATGACTGGGTCCAAGCCTCCCAATGCAACTTGCAAGAAACATGTCATTGAAGTAATGGTCTTAAATTGTAATTTAATTAGGGTAATGATTTTTGAACTTACTACAATGTGTAGAAATGAGTTTTTTGGGCGACTTCGTTAGAAATTTTGTTCATTTTTTTCCTTTAACCTTTTATTTTGGATGATATTTCCATCATTGTTGCTCAAAAGGATGTTTTCTCCACGATGTGATAAATTCAAGGATTAACATTTATGGATTTTCAATTTAACGACTAAAACTCAGTTTGGGTCAAAGTTTATGACAATGCTTCACTTTTCTCTTTAAATGGATAGAGAATTTGGTACTTTCGATTTAACTTATAATTTTTCTACACATATAAATACAATATTAGATGCTAAGCTGAGAGTGCAAAAACCGCTACTAAATCTTATTTGTGTTCAGTGTCCAGTATGAAAAGTGTGTTTGGCAAAAACGTAACGAGGAGCTGGCATCTTTAAATGAAAGATTACCTAATTCCACATGTATATCAAAAGTGGAATATCCTCTCTCTCTGTCTCTCTCTATATATATATATATATTATGTATATATGTATATATGTATTTGAGTATGCAATATGTTAAATGGAGTAGACCTTGAAGTTGAGGAAGGGTCCAATATGTCATATGTGGTTTCCAAAGTCCAGAGTCCAATGGGGATCATTGTTAATAAAACAAATTGGTCACTTAAAATTATAAATGTCTAAAATTCATATGCTTAAATTGAATTACAAACACAATAAATATGAGAAATGACCGAAAAACTAAAAGCATAAAGTGTTTATTGGGAGAATTTCATGCCCTCGAAAATTGCATAATACATATTCAAGAATTGTTCGTGCATTGCTCGAGGGCACAAGAACTGCTCGAAAGGGACTCGAGTGGCTATGTTTTCTTCTCCTCTTTCTTTAAAAGAAAAACATAGCTCCATCGCTGGGCAGCCAATGACCAGTCATTTTGTAGGCTGCAGGGAGGGGGCCTTACCTGTGTAAGATGTAACCCTTCTTGTTATTGATCAATTTTAAGGGACCGTCTCTTAGAATTTTGACCACATACACGTGCCCTTGTATTGTTGGGATTCAACTAGAACAGCAACCATGTCAACACAAGACTCATGTGCGACTTTTGGTTGGTGTAACCTAATTATGCCACACTTGCCAAGTATATGATGTAAACTTGAGGAAAAAAATAGGCTATTTTTTGCAAAACTTCTTAAAACTCGAACCTAATTTCACTTTCTTTTATGGATTAAAATTTTGTCATTTTGTATTTTGAATTTCGATATTCGTTCCATTTTAGCTAAATTTTGTTTATTATGTTATATTGGTGTTGAATTACTGACACATATGTGATGGAGGTGCCAACCGTATCAATGAACTGCACCACATTGTATATCATGATATAATTCAAGGACGATTGCTACATAATCTAAGAAGAGACGAGAGGAATACATATTACTTTAAAAGTAGTTTCAATTTACAAATTAATCTTAGAAAGTAACTTTTATCTCAATTTCATGCTGAACTTTTGTCTCACAAAATCAGGGGAAAATATTGACTCTTTGAAGAATACATACATATAGACAGAATGCAAACCAAGTCTTACGAAATTTCAAATACCGAGGACTTGGCCCTTAAGGTCCTGTTTGGCAGAACGGATAGGACAAGTTATACGGATTTGGGTGTTTGGCGTTTCCTCGTATTAAATAAGCACTTGATTAATTTAACCGATCTGCTTATTAGTTGGTTTTGCTCTCCTCTCTCGCGAACTCGGCCCTCTCTCTCCAACCGAACCTTTAATTTCGTACATGACGCTGAGTTATTTGAATTCAAAGCTTTTTTGACAGCAGATGTCAAATTTATTAAATGATATTTTAATAGAGTAATATAATATATAATAAATGTAGTTATGTTTTTGAAATATTTGATTGGTTGTCTTAATCATTGAACTCCATAAAAAGATAAAAAATTTATTAAATGACATTATTATTTAACATATCGATGAAGCAAAATATTATACAAAATGTCACATTGCCACATAAGTTATCAACTATCATATTGATGTTTAAAATTTGGCATCTCCTTAGGAGATGCTTTTAGGATTTGAAATGTATTTGGGTTTTTAGATAATTACATTGAATTCATATCCAGTCAGTATAAATAACACGATCATTAGTTCAATGTTACACCAAACGATCGATTAATTTAGTCAGTACTATTCGATGATTATTTATTCTATCCGATTAAAATAATCAGTATAGGCGCTAACAAACGAGGCCTAAAAGTCACATTATGTGTTGTCCCTTGTCCTCGTAATTATATTATATGACAATCAGACATGTTCTTAAATTGTTTTTAGTAGTTTATTTATTTTAAGCGGGCGTTGCTGGCCTATATATTCAACCAGCCACCACTCTTCAAAACCTCCTCTCCCTATCTTTCCTGCCTAGTAGTGCCTACCCCAAGATTTTGATCTCTCTCTCTCTCTCTCTCTCTCTCTCTCTCTCTCTCTCTCTCCTGGTTCTGAAAACCTTGTGTCTGCTCTTTCTCTCTCTCCTCTCCTGGTTCTGGAAACCTTCTCTCTTTCTTTCCTGGTTCTGAAAAACTTGAATCTGCTTCGAAATTCATTTATAGCTTTTGTGGTATCCTTTTTCTCCAATGCTTAATATAAAAACCTATAAATATAATTATGTCTCCCGTACTCAGTGAAATCCTGCTCTCTGGGTGTATGATAAACCCCACCCTCCTTCGCAGAAGCCACTTAGTTCAATCCTTCTCTGTTGTCTTCCTCTACTGGTTTTACAACATTTTATAAACAAATTTTTACTTTTTTCTTAATTATTTTTCATATCTAGCATCTGGGTTCTTCAAATAATCACTCCAACTTTCTTGGGTAAGGAAAAAGTTTTTATTTTTTGGTTTTGTTAAGCATATAAACATTACGCGCATGGCTTCTTCAAGTGGGGTTTCTTCAGAGTCGAGCAAGCTCCAAAACTCAGGATCTGATGCAGATCTTAACCTAGTCATGGACCAGAGAAAGCGCAAAAGAATGCTGTCCAATAGGGAATCGGCACGTCGATCCCGGATGCGAAAACAAGAGCATATGACTGATCTAACGGCTCAGATTGGGCTGCTGATGAAGGAGAACAACCGGATCATCACATCCATGAATGTGACCAACCAGCTTTACATGAAGATTGAGGCAGAAAACTCAGTCCTCAGAGCTCAGATGGATGAGCTTACTAACAGATTGCAGTCCCTCAATGATATCTTGGATTGTATTAATTCAAGCAAATGGATTTATGAGGAAGAAGAAAATCATAATATTATTGGTGGAGGTGAAGGATTTCTGAATCCATGGAGTGCTGGCTTTTTGAATAATCAACCAATCATGGCCTCTGCTGACATGTTTATGTGCTAAACTCAGTTGGGTTAATCATGGATTAAGTGAGAGATTAGTGAAGTGAATTGAGATGTAACTACTAACAACATCCATGGCTTGTGTAGATTTGTTGTTACAATTGAATTATTAGTAGGTCACAGGTCGTTCTACTGTTGAACATGTAAAGCATGTGTAAGCAATCACTTTTGCTTTTCTTTTGGCTTCTAGTTTTGTTCCCAATTTTATGATTTAATAAAATACTTCTTGTTTATTTGCATACAATTTCAAGTTAATTGTGCTGTGTTAATAACGTTAGCATACTTTATTTTATTTTCTTAAAAATTAATAATGTTGGCATATTGCTGGAATTTTGTGTGGTTTTCATAGCTGGAATTGGATCATATGGTTAGACAAATTTTGCTTTTTAGCTAAAATAGTTCATGAAATTTTCATAACACATCATTTTGGTCTCTGAGATTGAAAATCAATAGAAATGGTCCCTGAGATTGTCTACCATCCCTTATTTTGGTCCTTCCATTAAAAACTCCGTTAAGAGTGTCCCGAAGCTCTTGGCCGAAAGTTTGGGCAATTTTCAAAGCTTTGTAACTCAATCGTTTTTTAACCAGCTTCGTAACTCAATCGTTTTTTAACCAACTTCGTAACTCAATCGTTTCTTAACAAGATTATACAATTTGGAAGCCCAATGGTTGCCGGAGATGACTGGAAAATAGCCTAAAAGGTGTATGGTCCGCAGGAAAACTGGAAAACTCGTCGGAAACTAAGTAAACTTTAAATGTTCATAACTTCTTCAATACTCAACGAAATCGAGTGATTCAAAAACGAAAATTGTTGACTTGCTGAGAGTACTGCTATTGAGAACCTCAAGTGCTTCTGTAAGGCAATTGAAGCCATATATGGAGCCACATACCTTTGCAAGCCAAATCATAAAAACTTGAAGAGGCTTTTATGCAAGGCAGACAAAAGAGGCTTTGAGCATGATAGGAAGTCTCGATTGTATGCATTAGGAGTGGAAGAATTGTCCTACTACTTGAGCTGGCCAATTCAAGGGCTGTCATAACAAGTCAACCATCATGCTTTAGGCTATGGTGTGACACATGGATTTGGCATGCATTATTCGGCGCTCCTGGATCAAACAATGATATCAACGTTCTTTGGTCTTCTCTTCTGTTCGATGATGTTGTCAATAGATGGGCACCAGAATGGAGGTACAAGGTAAATGGTAATAGGCATGAGCTAGGTTACTACCTAACTAATGGTATTTATCCTAGTTGGTCTACCTTTATGAAAAGTTATTCTCATCCCGATAGTGCGAAAAAGAAATTATTTTCGCAGAAACAAGAGTCTTACAGGAAGAATGTGGAGAGAGAGTTCGAGATCCTACAAGCTCGATGGGCCATTGTTAGAGGGTCTGCACGATTGTGGAATGTGGAATACCTCCATTCAATCATGATGACGTGCATAATTTTGCACAACATGATTGTGGAAGATGAGTATGTAGAAATTGAAGAAGATTCTGATGAAGATGTGAATGATGACCAACCAACATATGCGAGAGCTATGAAAAGAGATGTTGAATATCTCGCTACAACCACATACGAGACCTGACAGGATAGGATCACACTGAGTGAGTATATGAGACATTTAAATAGAATTCAAGCTCCTCAAGGTCATGACACACTCTGTAAGGATTTGGTTGAGCATATATGGCCCTGAGAAGGAGAACGTTGATGATGGATAATCTTAAGTGTATTAATGTGTTAGTGTTGGTGTATTAATGTGCTATGTTGGTGTATTAATGTGTTCTTGTGTTAAATTTAAGTGTGTTATGTTGTTAAAATTATGTAATAATTTTAAGTGTACTATGTTGGTATTTTCTAGTAATAAATTGAAGTGTATTCTTGTGACAAGTCTTTTGTCTAGTACGTTGTCAAAATTATTGAGGGCCGTTTGAATTATTGAAGGCATCTATTGTACATCAAAGTGTGCAACAATAAGTACAATAATTATTGAAGACATCTAAATTAATAGAAACAATAATTAATAAGCCATAAATTTAATACACACGATAATTAATAAGTCATAAACTTAATACAAACGACAATTAATAAACCACATAAACTTAATACAATTGTTAATTCATAAACTACATAAACTTAATAATGATATCCACCATCTTGACTTGGTGGTGGACTATAGCCTTGAGATGAATCATCATCTTGAAATATACTCATTGTGACATGCCTTCGCAAAATTTCCTTTTGCTTAGCACGTCAGAACTTCTTCCTCTCTGGAGTGTATTTGTTGAGGTCCTCTATCATGAAATTACATTTGAACTTTTCTTGCTCCCTATCCCCTTCGTGCGTCATGGCCAAATTCATTCGGGCCGCTTCTTCCTCCCGCGAGCTATGGCTTTTGGTCAATCTTGCAAATCCGGTAGCAATTTGTGCACTAATCGGATCTTGGGACTCCCTTTTTCTCTTTGCTTCCTTTTGCCTATCTCTTCTCGGGGGCCTTACAAAAGAAGAAGTTGGGGTCAATTCATCAACACCTTTATTGACATCATTTGTCTGTGCGGCTTCACTATGAAATAATCTTCCCCATTATTGGTCCGCATCGGTTCCCCATCTCGGACAATCCTTGAGGACTTTTCAAGCATGATGCAACTTAAAAGCTTGATTTTTTGGTGTAGTTCTTATCTTGTAAATTGCCCTTGCTTTGTCACCATATGTAAGAAATACATAAAAACAATTCATTGCAAAATAATATTATGTACATAACAAATAAAATATCAACAAAGAAACTCATAACTTCTGCGGTGCTCCTTCCACTAGCCATGTCAACCACGGCTCTCTCCAAGCTTCCCTTCCATAAAGTGTACGCTTTGTTGATAACCTTCCACTGATCGTAAACACCACCACCTTCCCTTCGGCTGGCATTGGAGTTTTCATGGAGCTTATCAATAATTTTACCCCACAAAACCTTTTTATTTTGATTTTTGCCAACGGCACCATCTTCGTTAATGGAAACTCTTGCCAAGCATAAAGCAACATCTTCCTCAAATGTCCAATTATGATCTCTAATATGCTCTTTTGCCATCTTGAAAATTTTGGAAATGGGAAGAAATGGTAGAAAGAAAAATTGGAAGAATTGTAGGACAAAAATGAGTTTTGTGTGGATGTTTGAACATACATAGGTATTTATAGAGTTTTTGGGTGAATTTTGAGTTAAATATTTTTTTTTAAATTTATTTTAGCCGTGGATTTAAATTTGGACCATTAGATCCTTTTTTTACCGTTAAATTTGATTATATTCGACCTCTGCCGTTGAATTCAATAAATATATAAATATAAAACTAAAAAAAAATTGAATGTAGTCGTTGGATAAATGTGAATTGGAACCGTTGGATTAAAAAGAACCGTTGGCTCGGCTGTCGCAAGTGGCCGACATGCCCACGTGGGTGAGGCCATGCCGATCATTCCGTTGGCGCATCTGAAGCATGCGCACGTGGAAAGGTGGAGTTTGTCACTTAAGCGCCAATTCCCAGTTACGTTGGTGGAGCCCACACCAATTTCTGGGTTAAACTTGGGCCGGTTTTTGGTTATTTTATTTTTTTATTTTAGGTTTTAGGTTTTAAGTCCAAATTAGAACTTGTGTTGGAATGGATTTTGGGGGGGGGGGGGAATAGAAGAGGAATTATAGGTTTTAGGCCATGGGTTGGAGTTGGCCTAAGAAACACCAGTTAACATAGGGCCTTGAAAAGGTCCAAGATAGGGCCTTGAAAAGGTCTAAGGGACATATAAGCCTAAGGCTGAGAAGCCTGGAAAATGACACAACCTGAATACCGCTCGGATATCGGCCGAGCGATATAGGCCTCAAATGCTTATTGAAGAGCACGTGGGCAAACTGACAGCTTTATAACACGAGTTTGCAGAGAAAAGTCCACTCATATGTCATTCAAGCTAGATGGCGACTTGGGAACAACAATGAAGACCCAAGATGGGACACAAAATGAGTTGAAGCGGCGTTCGGGGAGATTGGGTTAATTAATCGAGGCCAACAGGGGGAAATGGGCTACTTTATTCTATGACAACATGCATTTGGATGCACAGCAACCACTTCACCGCAAATGTTTGGTTGACAGGTAAAAAGGTGTCATCGAGCTAGTTCTTGTAGAGTGGCACATTAAATGCTCCCTGTGAAAGACCCAAGGAATGAGGGTTCATTGGAGGCCTCTATGAAGGGGCATGAACCCCCAATATCAAGGTTGGACAACTTGAGAAAGTGAAATTGATGTATTAGCCAAGCGTTATTTTTAATCTTATAATCAATAGAATTCAACAACACAGTGGACGTAGACCAAGTTTTGCAGGGTGAACCACTTATATCTTTGTTCATTTTAATTCTAGGCCATATCCAAGAGCCCACCAAGGATCATATATTTTTTATCATTGGGTTTAAAGTATGTTAGTGTCCACATGGATTCATGACACACCCCTTCCCGAAGGAGGGCATGCTGGCCGTCACGATCCGAAATAATACTCATTGGTACTCTATATGCATCAAAACATAATAAGGATGCAACAATATAACAGGTGAAATAAGGAATCAACCGGAAACCCTGCAGCTGTCCTGTACAGTTAATTCTATAGCTCAAAATCCAATCCAACCGGAGTCACCACTGTGACCTGTACGACACTACTCTGCACATAAATCAGAACTACTTGAAGTAGTCTGTACGATAAGAATGGTGTAAGAATACGCTCTAGTGCTTCTCTCATCAACAACTGTATAATAATCTAAAGTCACCTACAAGTCGGAACCACCTCTCATGGTCTGTACGACATGCACCTACTTAGATCCAAGGTGATCGTGTGGTGCAGGATGAATAATATAAGCACTAACACTAGGAGTGCAGGTTATGAGCTCTCAACACAATTCACATCATCAATAAATCACATGAACAATATAAACCTCACCTGATACTCACATGTGCGTCCACAACACCATTTCACATATATGCATCAAATACTAATTCACATATTTCATATAATATGCATGCATGGCATACTTTCTGGTTTTGATAAAGATTTCTGAATTGAGCTATTTGAAGATTTATATGCATATTATATACTATTTTTCTGGGAAAATATACATGTTTTACAGCGAGGGGTTAGAAATGTTATTATATGAGATATTTTCGAAAAACTTTGTTTTACTGACCCACTCAATCTTGTTTTGCGCCCCTCTAGGTTCTAG